CCCGGCCCGGCCCGGCCCGGCCCAGCTCGGCCCGGCCCGACGCTCAGCAGCCAGCGCGCTGCAGAGGCCCTCGAAAGATCTGCTAAGCAAAGGCGCCTGCTAGCCCTCTCCGTCCCGCCCCCGATCCAAGTCTGCTGTGATTTAAGTAGGCAAATAGATCCACACCGACACGATAATTTAGCTTGTTTTGTTTTCGGTATTTTCTACAGGACCCCAAGAGATGGACTTTCTCCATCCTCCCTCCAGAACGGGCATCCCTCATTTCTGTCTGTGCAGGCTCTATTATCCAGATCCTTGGGGTTCCGATAGACTGAGTCATTGCGACTAGGACCACTTGGCTGAAATCACACCATTTAATTAGATTTCCTTTCTTTCTTTCCGCTTTCTTTTAGAGAGGGTTTGGAGTGGCCTCCTCGACCGAGGCGGAGGAGCGCGGATTGGAAAAGGAAAACCTCACAGCAGCCCAGCTTGCCGCCCCCGTGGAGATCCCCAGGCTCCGCAGAGCCAGGCTGGGCTGCCTTCCTCCCCTCGCCTCTCCTCCTCCTCCGTCGCGTTTTCCTCCTCCCACTGTCTTCTTTTCTGCTTAAAGTTCGGCGACTCGGCTTGCCTCTCCTGGCCTTTCCCTCGGAAAGCGGAAGCCAGACCGCCCAGCGGCCACGGGCCGAGCGGCCCCAGCTCTATCCCAGCTCGCAGCCGGACGGGCATCCCCGCGCCCGCCTCCCTGCGCCGGTGACACCTCGGAACCCGGGCTCGGCCTCTCCACCGTCCTGCAGGTGTGCAGCCCTGCACGTCCTGCAGGTGAGCAGCAGGACGACCCGGGCGGCAAAGGAGAGCGGGCCTCTCGCCCCTCTCCCTGGGCCCCAGGTTTACACCACAAAGTTTGGAGGGTGGGTACACCTCTACCCGGGCCACTTGGTCCCCCAAACTCACGGCTGACTAATCTTATATGACAAAAGCCTGTGATGGATTTGCTATATGTTAATTCACAATGCCCTTTCCTCCAGAATTTAACTATAAGTTAATACACACCGGAAACCACGCGCATACACGCCCGTTAATGGGCTTAGGTATTAGCGAGTCCTAACGATGCATACAAATGTGCTCTGCGCTCTGTAGGCCCCTCAAGATTTATGGGCCTTGAGCTCTCTGAAGCTGTAAACAAGGAGAAAAAAAGAGAAAGCGAGAGAGACTGGGGGAAAGAGACAGAGGCCTGAATCGCCACTCCAGATTGTGGGAGAGAAGGGATTCTTATGTATTTTCCTTGCCTTAGGAGCTTGGTGCGTGTGGGGTTTTGGCATTGGTCCGGGGGTGGTGTGCTGCCTGAATGCTGGCACGCGTGGGCAGCCTGTGGTTTGTGTGCTGGGGTAGGAGGACCTCTGCCTCCCTTGAGTCACTGTGTAGGGGCCTAAACATAGCAGGCGTTTGTGGACGCGTTTGTGTGCGTGCACCGTGTTAGGTGGGAATGTCTGCGTGCCCCACGCACAAGTGACAAGGAGGCCTCCCTCTGAGCCAGGCTTCTGTCCCCCAACCTGGTGAACAAATCTCTAACAGCAATCATAATAACAATAAATAACAGAACAATAATAAAAACAGTAGTTAACAGTCCCTCCCTAGTAGGATAACAATAAAATGCCAGAGGAGGCATTTTGAGGAGCGGGTAAAGGAGTCACCGTGGCAGAATCTAAAAGGAAGACAAGAAAGGAAGGAAGTTAGCTTCTTTAAATGTCTTCGAGGGGCTGGGGTTGGGAATCCCCTCCCCAGGCAGGGTCCTTGGGCCAGAGGAGGGGAGGAAAGCCGGGAGGCCACTTTCCTGCTGCTTTTTCTCTGCTGTTTGCTTCGTGCGAGCAGGAAAGAGATTCCACATATGGGGTGGTTTGTAGCTTTGTAGCTTTGTAGGCTTTCTGGAAACCCCTGTTTTAAAGAGGAGGCCAAACGTGCAGGGTCAGGCCGAGGGGCAGGACCACGGTCTCGCTCCCGGCCGCGGGGCGCAGAAGTGCCTGAGAGGACGAGCTTCGGGCCGGGGAGGAAGCAGGAAAATATTTATGGCTGTCCGCCCAGGAGTGAGGAGAGCCAGGGAGTGAGACTGGGGCTCCCGCAAGCCCAGTGAAAGTTCCCTTCCTGAGGTCTTTTTAAAGAGAAGGGGGAGGTTGAGGCGCCCTGAATTTTCCTCCTGGAGTTTGGAGCCCAGCGGATTTCCGCAGAGGAGGCGAAGATCGCGGCCCGGATTCCTGCGGTGTCCACCTCGTTCTCTCCAGGTACAGTTTTCTGATAATTTCATCAGTTAACTCATTTGGGGGAGGTGGGAGGTAAAGCTGTAGAGATGCGTCGTTAGCGGGAAAGGAAGCCGCCCCACCGTTTCGGGTCTAACGAAATCCCTCCTTTAACAACAATTGTACCAACAAACAAACAGAAAAAGAGGGAGAAAATATAATAACACACAACCCACTTTTTAAAAGAGAAAAAGAAAAGAAAATGTCCATCCCCAAGAGCACGAGAACTTCTAAAAGATTTAATTCACAATCCTTGTCAAAGGTTTGGATTCTTTTTCAACAGCGGTGACCCATTCGGTCTGAAAAGAGACGCAGAGGTCCGGGATCCACTGAGTCACTTCTTTTAATCCCCTGCCCGCCCCCCAACAAAGATTCAGAGGGGACCACTGGGCTCCTCGCATTGGAGAGGAGAACAGCACCGCGTGGAAGACAGTGTACTGCGATAACCAGAGGATGAAATAGCAGTGAAATAGAACAGGGCGAAGCACTGAGCGCAGGGAGAAGGCCCAGGCCTTAAGGGTCAGCGAGCGGCGGGCCGGCGAGGAGCTGCCCCAGGTGGTGGGCACCGGGCACTGGAGAAGGCGTGGGCCGTCTGCTTCTTTGGCTCACTGGCTCACTCATTCGCTTGCCCCGGAGGCCGGGTCAGCTTCCCCGATGAGAGGGTTTGGGGTCCAAGACTGGGCAAAGTGACTCAAGCCAGCTTCTGCTTTTTCATTTTTCTCCCGTAGGCCTCTCCACTTGCCCCGTTCTCACCCACCAGGACACTGACGGAAGGGGCTTCTGGGCTGCCCCCCATCCACTCCTGCTTGGCTTCCCAAAGTCCAGCGACCTCCAACCCTTCCTGGGGGGAAAATACCTGTACCCAGGCACCTCAGCCCCTGCTATGTGACCTGGCTCCCTCAGGACTATGGTACAAAGATGAAGAAAGAACAGCTCTCTCTCCCTCGGAGCCGTGTTTACATCTAGTTCTACTGATCCATCCACATCTGGAGGGTTTATTTATAACTCCTATAACTCTTCCTGTTTCGAGGCACTGGTGGCTCTATTGACAGACTGATGCCTACAAAATATTGCTCTATCTCTAACCATACCTAAATGTGCTGTGGTTGTATTTACAGATTTATGTTTGAGGAAAATATAATTATTTCCATTGTATTTGTGCATATACAATGGTTATAGAAGCAGATTTATATATGGGAAAATATATGACTCCCTTACAGCCATCCAGCTTTATGGACATTTGATATTCTGACAGATTTATACCTCTGAGCAGCTTATAGATAAATGTATATCATTAGAATTATGTATCAGGAGATATATACTTATTGATTGTGATATAGAGTAGTTAGAGCATTCACTTGGAGTCATATATGCCTATGGAGATATTTCTATATTATTATCACTATCTATAGGCACATCTATTTATAACCACATAGTTATAAAAATAGACGTAAGTAATTATAGTCCTATATGTACATGCTGTTATCTCTCTAGAGTTATAGACACTTTGGAATATAACTCTATAGAGATATCCGTATGTATATAAGGCGTAATTATCTCGTGATGTGTGTGCGCTGGGATTTAGGCCAGTGTATCTGAACAGACATATTTATGTGTAGGGGCCGGGGGAGACTTGTTCACGGAGATAACTGCGGAGGGCCCACTGAAAAACTGTATCTGGCCATCTAAGAAACTAGCTGGCAGAGTTTCTTACTCTGGAAGAGATGGAGTTACAAAAGAGTAAACAGCGGATAGGAAGCATCCCAGAGGGGAGACAATGGAGGGTGCTGGGGCTCCCCTGGAGTAGACAGAGGACCAAGGAGGAAAGGGAGAAACACCCAGCATGCCAGAAAGGCATCAGCAGGTTTTCAAGAGGGGCTGGCGCAGACAGGTGTGAACTGGGGGCTTACAGAGGGGAGGGAGTGACACTCTTACCGCCGCACTTGGAGGTGCTCTTCGGCTTCGCTGTGGCTTTTAGTGCACTAAAGGTAGGACAGTGTGTTCCTCCCCACCCATTCCTGGCACCACTGGGCCCCAGCTCCACACTTTTCTCTTAAATTCTGAACCTTAGTTTTTGGGTTTCCGAGAAAGGGCTTCCGAGGTGAAGAGGTGTGGGAAGGAGCCTGGCAGGGAGGGAAGTGCCTTTTCACCACCGCTGCTTTAGGATCGCAAGGCCAGGAAAGAGGCAATGAAGCCAAGTCAAAGCAGCTTTCTCCTAAGTCTTCTGTGGCTCAGGTGTGTGGATGGTTGGGACGGGGCCCCTGTGGACTGAGGGGTGAATCTGAGAGTATGCGGCCTGTTCTGAGGGGGGCTGGGAGAGGCTTCCTTACCACCCGCCCCTTCCAGGCTTGGGCCTTAGCCTTCTAATTCTGTTGCTCAAGGACTGCTTCTTTGTTGTTCCTCAAATCAGGGTTCTCTGTCCTCTGGGTACAGCGGGTGGCTCTAGTCCCCTAAAAGTCCTGCCGTGGGCTGGGAGAAGTTGACTTCGGTAAGCAGGAACATGGGCCTGAACCCCTAGACTTCTCCCGCTCACATTGACAGCTCTCCTGCACTCCCTGTCCAGGCACCCCTGGGCCTAGGTTCCACAGTTCTTTCCCTGCCACCAGCCGCCCCAGGGGGAAAAAGATGCACACATCCCAGTTTGCTAATTTTATTTGTTTGGTTAGTTGTGTTTTGTTTTTTTTTTTGTTGGTTTTTTTTTTTTTTTTAAACCAGGGAGTTACAGGTATCTATGCTGAGTGGTGTGAAGGACTTTTCCCGAAATCTGTCTGGGTGGCCAGGCCTGCTTCTGAGAATCAAGATCCAAGATCCCTAGGATTCTGGGAAGGGAGCAAAGAGCCTTGGGCTGGGGTTAAATGCCAAAGTCAGCCTCCACACACACCCATGTCCACAGGACTGGGAACTCGTCCAGGGCAAAGCTTCTGTCTGCTGCCCAGCGCAGAAGGGCTGACCAATATGTACTTGTCGAGGTCCACAGAATGCAGTCAATGCAAAAACTCCCCCTCCCCCTGAGCACCACTGTGGCCACTGCTGGTCAGCAGGCACCCGGGCACCTGGGATGGAGGCAGCCTAGCCAGGCTGGGGGATAATGTGCTGGGCTGTGGGGGGGCTCTAGTCAGGGTGGGAGATCGACCCAAGCCGAGGACTGGAGGAAGGAGTGAGATCCAAGAAATTCAGGGACCCCAGGGAGACCCTTTCCCCCCAGTGGTCCTCTGCCCGCTAGATCCCCAGACATGAGAAAAAGAAAGCCTAGGGAGACCTGGGCTGGGAAGGAGCTGTCTGTCTGCCTGAAGGGCCTAGAGAGGAACCACCACTTCATCCATTAAGAAATATACAAATAAAACAAAAATAAATTAGCAGGAAGCAGACAACCTGGCCAACGAAAGGCTTTTCTCTTTGCCTCAGCCTTGACCTGGAGACATCAAACAGAGCAGCCTTACTATTTTTAAATGTTAATTTATAATTTAGAAGCTCACAGATTTTCTGCTACAGAAATTTCTCCGTTCAGATTGTTTCACATATTTATTTTTTATCGACACCACTTTCCCCTCTTCGGTTCTTCCCAGGAGTTTGGGGCCAGGTCGGTCACTGTCAGCAAACAGGACAAAATGGGCAGCTGTGGGGTTTCCTGTCTAGCAAGGATCCCGGTCTGCAGGGACTGATCGGTCTTTCTCTCTCCATGGAGGTTTACAGTGGGAAGGATCCCAGATTTGGTTTCTTGTTTTCCCTAAGAATCTTAGGTAAAGGAGTAAGGTTAAAAAGGTCTAAAGTAAACTTGAAATCCTATTTCCTAATCCCTCAGCCTTCCCTAGACTCCCAGCCCTCCTCCCTCCTAACCAAAGCACAGATCCCCAGGGAGGGTTATGTTTTCCCTAACTAAATGCAAGGAGGGTCCTGCATTTACATATGTTTGCCTAAAAAAGACTCTGGGCCAGTGGGGCGTCTGGGCTTTGGCCTGGACTGAGGAGCGGGTCATTTGTTGTGAACGTCAGAAACTTTGGGTCTCAGATAATGATTGTCCTCAGCCAAAAAGCAGGGAAGAAGAAACACTGTCCACTATTATTAAGTTCTGGGTCCCACTACCTAGGCTCGAGTGGCTCTCAGCTGTTTCTGGGGCCCAGACCCTTTGAGAAGCTGACAAAAACTGGCTTTGTTGCCAACAAAATACACATAATCATGGTGTCTCTGACTGTTGCAGGAGTTATAAGGAGTCCGAGAAGCCCACGGTCTGTATGATGAGTGCGTCCTTCATTTGTAGTTTCCCTTTCTTTGACCCATCCCCTCTCTACTTGCCTTCCTTTTCTGTGTCCCATCCCCTCTCTACTTGCCTTCTTTGCTTTAGCCCCCCTTGCTGGGGGCTAAAGAAGTTCTCTAAGTCCGACCCCTGCCATTCACAAGAGCAGGCACCTGGCAGAGGCCTTGTGTGTCTCTGCCGCGCTTCTGATCGGCTCTCCTCCCGCAGGAACCAGCAAAGTGCCTGTTAACGGAAGACTGATCTCTGCTGCCCAATTACTCAACTAATTCCTGAGGGTGGGGGAGTGCTGGGGGGCACATTGGCAGCAGTGGAGGCCTGGCTGTAGGGGGACCAATTCCCATCTCTAGTGGAAACTCGGATGCCAGGAGCAAGTTGCAATTGCTATAATAATAGTCATAATAATAACAATAATAATTTATTTAGCATATCATTAGATGTGTATTTACTGTCTTCTCTCTGCCTTTTTACAAGTGTCTCCTAAGGAATTCTCACAACACCCAGGGGAAACAATAATAAGCTAATTACCACCCTTCAGCTCCTTCTCCTTGGATCCACAAAGTCACCTCTGAAACAGATCGTTTACAGAACCCCTTCCTGTGCTTTACACCTGCTTAACACATCCTTCCGGGTCCCCAAGTCTCTCCCATCCCCAGGTTTTCATCCTTGTTAAGGAATTTTATCTATAATTCAGAAAAGGAAGGGTTGGGAGGGGGAGTTGTTGAGACCTAGAGAGATCCAATTTGTTGTGGTTGTTGTAGGCATTAATATTGTTTCCTTAATATTGTAGCAACATATAGGGTACTGTGGGAGGAACTGATGCCTTATGTTTCTGCTTGCTCTTTTTAAGGCAGACAAGATTCTAGAGACTTGTGCATGCTGCTGTGATACAAAAATGTCCGAGTCCAGTGTAGGAGCATGGCCACCCCTGAAAATGTAACATCCACTCCGGTGCCTTCAGGCTGTGCAGGTCAGACTTCAGAACTGCCAGGTTCCACATAGCTCACTGGCCTCTTTTGATGGAAGGAAGTGAGGAAGGAAGGAAGGAAGGGAGGAAGGAAGGAAGGAAAGAAGAGAGATGTGTGTGTGCACATATTGATGCACACACATTTTTCCTGAGTAAATAACCACGGCAGTGGTTATATTTTTTAAAATTAAAAAAAAATTTTTTGTCTTGGTAGCCAGGCTTCTTAGCACATGGCTATAAACCCAGTACTTTGGAAGGCTGAGGCAGGAAGATTGCAAGTTCTGGTCCTGCCTGGGAAATTTAGCAATTTAGTGAGACCCCTTCACAAATAGATAGCTAAGAGCTGGGCATAGTGGTGCACGCCTGTAATCCCAGCACTCAGGAGGCTGGAGGCTGAGGCAGGAGGATTGTTGTGAGTTCAAGACCAGCCTGGGGTACAAAGTGAACTCAAGGCCAGCCTGAACTGCATACTGAGACCCTGTCTCAAAAAGACAAAAAAAAAAAAAAAAATCTGAGAAA